ATTTAGCAAGACCTGGCATCACACACACGCAGGTACGCACGCACGCACTTGTGCACACATGTCTTTCCATTTATGAGCATGAAAGAATAAACATAGTATTTTTTGTTTGTTTTTAGGCTAAGACATTTTTAAGGATAATAACACATTTTCTCACGCTTTAAAAAGGGAAACTGGAGCCAGTCGATGATGGCGCACACCTTTAATCCCAGCTCTCGGGAGGCAGAGGCAGGCAGATCTCTGAGTTCAAGACCAGCCTGGTCTACAAGAGCTAGTTCCAGGACAACCTCTAAAGCCACAGAGAAACCCTGTCTCGAAAAACAAAACCAAAAAAGTGGGGGAGGTGGACTGGCTTGGAAGAACACATTTTGTAGTCTCAGATATTGGGGAGGCTAAGATAGGATTGCTTTATTATTACTCTTTTTCATTTCTTTAAAAAAATATTTTTTGAGATGTTTCACTTTGTAGCACTGCCTGACATGAAGCTACCTATGCAGACCAGGCTGGCCTTGAATTTACAGAGATCTGCTGCATCTGCTTCCTTAGTGTTGGGATTAAATGCAGATGCCACTACACTTAGGTTTTCCTTCCTTTCTTTCCACGAAGTCCTGGAACTCACAAGAGATCTACCCACCTGTAACTCCAGAGTGCTGAGATTATAGGTGTGCACCACCGCACCTGGCTAAACATTTTTTTTCTTAAATTTTTACTATACATTTGTGTGTGAATTGTGTATGTGTGGAGGTCAAAGTACAACTTTGTGGAGTCACTTCTCATTCTCCCTTTACATGGGGTTCAGTGATCAAATTCAGGTAGCTAAGCTATGTGACAAGTGACTTTATCCACTGAGCCATCATGCTGGCCTAGGAGGATCTCCTGAACACAATACTTTAAGGCTAGATAACATAGTGAGAGCCTATCTCAAACAATCAGAAATGGGGAGATCACACTTTGTGATTCTAGGGGAAATTATTTTCTTAAATGTTCTACTTAAAGGCTACAGTACTCCCTACCTTTCTACTTATCTTTTCTCATTGTCTTAACTAGTGGTGAACAGTAACAAGTAGCTTTACTGGAGTGAATTTGGTTTAGTTTGGTTAAACCCAAAAAACCTTCAGTGCTTAAAACTCAGTAAATAGACTATCAAAAGATATCAAAACTCACTAAGCATGCTGGCATATGCCTGCAGTTCCAGCAACTCCAGAAGCAGAAGCAAAGGATCAGGAATTGATGGCCACCCTCTGCTACATAGTCAGCTCAAAGCCAGCCCAAGCTGTACAATAACCCTGTCTCAAACAAACAAGGAAACAAGAGACCAGAGCATGGAGAAACAGCCAAAGTTGCTTTCCATGGCAGAGCAGTAGTTCTGCCTGTCCACAGAGAGCCAGTGTTTGATCATTACGTACAGTTTGGGATACAGATGTTACAGAGCTTGCCTAACATGCAGAAAGCCCCAAGTGTCATCTCCACTCCATCCTTGCTTCCACAGTGAGTTTAAAGCCAGGCTCGCTGGCCACATTGAGACTATGCCTGAAAAAGCAACACAAAACCTCCCTGCAAAAACAAGAAAAAACTGATTTTTATTTATTTATTTTTTAGTTTATTTTTCAGTTTAAATTTAGATAAGAAACAAGGTTGCTTCACAAGTCAGTTCCAGGTCCCTCTCCCTTTCCCTCCCCTCCTCCCGTGCCCTCTCCCCAACCCCCCCATTATCCCCTCATTTCCCCAGGGAGGGTGAGGCCCTCCATGGGGGTGTCCATAGTCTGTCCTGATTTTTATTTTTAGGTGTATATATGTGCATTTATTTGTATGTGGGGTATGTGCCCAGATACCCGGAAGCATTGGATCCCCTGGAGTTGTAGTTTAAATTGTGAGCTTCATGAATGCTGGTAACAAAACGTGGGTCCTCTGCGGGAGCAGAAAGCATCCTTAACCACTAGTGTTGATGTTTTGAGACAGGGTCTCTATTATGTAGCTCTGGCATCCTGGAACTCATTGTGTAGACCAGACCGAATTCAAATGCACAGAGATCCACCTGCCTCTGCCTGGCCTACCTTAGTATTTTAAAACATCTTATTTGTCTTGGTCTTTTATTTAGAGAGTTGCTTTAAATATATAGCTGTGGGTGTGAGCCACTAAAAATCTGGAGGCTGGTTTTGCCACACTTCTTAAAGTTAACTAGAGTTCTTCCTTCTAAAATTGATTAACTGGGGACCCAGTTTTTTGGAAGGGTTACTGCCTTTGTAGGTGTTTTTCTTGTAGCAGAGATTACAACCTTGAGTACAGCATTTAGGAAGCAAGAGTGGAGGAAGAGCTGGGATGCCTCACCTTTCAGGATGTTAGCTTTCCTCCTCCTTCCCCAGGTAGCCCAGGCTGGCCTCAAAACTACCAGCCTCTGCTTGTGAGTGCCGGTTTGATAGGCATGTATCACCCCTGTCTGTGTACTTTCCTCATTCCCTCTGCCCCTTGTCACTGCTGTGCTCCCTTGGTGTATCCAAATCCAGAATCTCTAGGCATCTCTCTGGAGAGTAACACTCAGCCTGCATTCATCAGTGACCACTAGGAGTCAGAGTGGAAATCTGGGGGAGAAGTTTTTGCCGTTCTTCAGTCCTGCCTGCTATCCCCCTATTACAGGCATTCCAGTATTCAGTGCTACACCACAGAGCAGGCTGGTCTCAAAAAGCATTGGCATTGAAGGCATGTGTCTCCACACCCAACACTTAGCCTTTGACCAAGATCAGATATAGAATGTTAAGCATAAATTCCAGGTTTAATATCCTACATGCTATTGAGTATAGAGGTGGTTAACATAGTTAGCTTAGGGGGCATCTAGAATTAAATTAAAATTGCTTGGTTTTAACTAGTTACTTTTTTGGTGGTGTTGTCGCTTTGGAAATCAGGTTTGGATGGGAGAGAGGGGGTACTGTTTGAATCTGAGGCTCCATCCATACAGTTTCAGTGTGGTTTGTCTGACTGCCTTAGACCTGCAGCTTATAATATATAGTAGATGAAAGCTGTGAGTTCATGATCTTGCAACTCTTTCTGCCATGTGGGCCACACTTTCTTGCACTGTGCTACTGATTTGCGCCAAGTGCACCCAGATGTGAAACTTGGTGCCTCTGACTTTCAGAAAGGCTCTATTCACACAGGGCATTGTAGGGAGCAGAATAGAGGTGGACAGAGCCTAGCTTTGCATTAATGCAGACAACTTTCAGCTGTCCTTGGCCTGAGCTCTTCACCCCCGCCCAATCCCAGCTTTGCCCTATTGTATTAGCTCTTCTTTTCTTCTCTGCCCCTCTCATCATTCTTCTCTCAGTTCCTTTTAGAGATAAAACAACAAATTCTTCCCCTTGTAGAATGCAGAGCAATTTCCCTTTCTTGACGGCTATTCTTCAGGGAACCACCCACTCTAAGGGGTCTGGACCTGAGAGGTTGGGGCCCCATATCAAGGGTGCATATTTTCTCAAAGAAGTTTCTTTCAAGAGGAATTCTTGTGTTCACTGTTAGGCTGATAAAATGGGTAATTTACCATCTTGTTACATAGCAACTAATACACCAATCAAGTTTTATTAAATCCCCAATAAAGTTTCAGAAGTCTAAAAAATAATTATGTGTGTAATTTATTGAACTCATAAACTCTAGTTATCTTTGCTTGTAATATACTTGTGTATAGAATTTGTTGCTTTTAAAGATACTTGCTACTTACCTATGGGTATAAACTCAGTTAACACAAAGGAGTTGTCTCACACCCTCTCTGAATTATTATGTATTTCACTTATGCATAAGTAAGTTTAGCTTTTGATACTCCAGTATTTTTGTTAGGGTGATTTTTCATTCCTGACAGTTCTAAGTTATATAAAGAAAATGTGTATTCTTTACAGGACTCCATTTTTTTCAGAAGAAAACCTTTATTTCTTTACATTTATTTATTTATTAGGTTTTTGTTTTTGTTTTGTTTTGCTTTTTTTGAGACAGGGTTTCTCTGTGTAACCCTGGCTATCCTGGAACTCACTCTGTAGACCAGGCTCCAAGCAGGCTGGCCTTGAACTTACAGAGATTCACCTGCCTCTGCCTCTCAGGTGCTGGGATTAAAATTGTGTGCCTCCAGCACCTGGCATTTATGGCTCATTCTCTCTGTAAATGACTGAATCTTTGGTTGTTCTTACCTGAAACATAGGTCATATTTTTTTCTATTTCTTTTAAATATCAGTATCAAAAGTTGTAGGGATTTCACTGTGTTGTAATATATTTTGTAAATTAAGGTTTGTCTCCTGCCTGCCAGTTTCCGAATAAACACTCAGAGGCTTAATGTTAATTATAATTGTTTGACCAATAGCTCAGGCAAACTAGTAAGTAGTTCTCACAGTTAACTCATTTAGCCTGGCGGTGGTGGTGCACACCTTTAATCCCAACATTTGGGAGGCAGAGGCAGTTGGATCTGTGAGTTCCAAGGCCAGCCTGCTTGGAGCCTGGTCTACAGATGGAGTTCCAGGACAGGGTCTAAAGTTACACTTAACCCATTTACTTTATATTTTACCATGATGCTCGAGGCTTGTTACCCTCACATCTTGTTTCTCCATTGGCTACATGGAGTCTCCCTGACTCCGCCTTCTTTCTCTCCCTATCTGTTTTTTTAAACTTTTTTTATATTTTTATTTGTTATGTATACAATCTTCTGCCTCCATGCCAGCAGAGGGCATCAGAGCTCATTCAAGGTGGGTATGAGCCACCATGTGGTTGCTGGGAATTGAACTCAGGACCTTTGGAAGAACAGTCAGTGCTCCTAACCTCTGCGCCATCTCTCCAGCCCCTCTCTGTATCTTTGTATTTCCTGCCTGGCTCTATTCTGCCTGGCCATTTATCAACCAATAAAAGCAACACATATTCAAAGTATACAGAAGGCCATCCCATACCATCCTTTTCTGAATTTATAAATAAAATTTATGGAATTGCTTTTTGCTTGCTATACATCAGCCCAGGCTCACAGCTTGTTTCCTTTATAGGTAGTAGAGAAGACGAAAACCCAGCCAGGGATTATGTGGTAATATGGAAGAAGATGGACAAAGACTGTTTAATGGGTAAGGACCAAAGCTGTAGTAAGATCTTATTATGAGAGTCATTCCTGATGGCATGACCAGTCTGTCTTACAGTCATGTTGGGGGAGTGGTTGATTATGATCTGTGTCGTGTTCTGAATTTCAATTCCAGCATCCATCTTAACCTTTGACTTTTTTAGTACCAGAAATTAAGAGGAGGTACTGTCATAGTTAAAGATAAGTGGATCTTGAAACCAGCAAGAGTACTGAAACAAGGCTTGAAGTTGATTGGTGGTTGACTAGAGACTGTGCTTGCCAAGAGTAATACCTGCCCTTCTCTTTCTCCAAATACTGCCAGCTGCTGTGACATCAGGCTCACCATGGGGGTCTTGTTCACTTGAGCAACTGCAGATGTGGGTCAGGTGGCAATCAAATAAAATTTCAAAGGCTCATATTTTTACTGCCTAGAATTCAAATATTGTAGATAACCAAAACTATCCATGAATATTAAGTCCTTTTCAGAGTCTAGAAGTTTATGCAGCATTTATTTGGGCAACCTTCTTCTCTGTCTAGTCCCGTGGTTCCCAACCTTCCTAACGCTTCGACCCTTTAATACAGTTCCTCATGCTGTGGTGACCCCAACCATAAAATTATTCTTGAAACTACTTAATAATTGTAATTTTGCTACTGTTACCAATCATAATGTAAATATCTGATATGTGACTCCTGTGAAAGGGGCATTTGATAACCTAAAAGGGTCGAGACCCACAGGTTGAGACCATTGGTTGAAATATGAGGTACTTTGATACCAAACTACTTTGGGACAGTTACTATTAGCCTGCTTGGGCAAGTTGATCTCTGAACTTCAGTTCCCCAGCTTAAAGGTAGGTAGAGACAATAAAATGGTCAACATATGCTGAGGGTTAATTAGTCCACATGAAAAATGTGCAGTAGTGTCTGGAACCGTGTAAGTACTTGGCAAATATCTGCAGGTGTCAGGTGCTCTCCAAGTTAGCATGTTTATGCACACGTGGGTTGCTCTGTGATGTTACACTCTGGGAGTTAACTCATCTTAAGGTAGGTCAATGCTGAGATCAAAGACTCTATGAGAATTTTCATCTTAGCCTATTTCATTTCTCTTAGAGTGTGTTGCTAAACTATGACAATAGAGTTATACACCTCCCGCTCTCACTTCATGTCTTATAGTGTATATGAATAAACAACCATTAGATAATAGTTGCACCTCTGCTTATATCAGCTGCTGGTTGTGTGTGTGTGTGTGTGTGTGTTTTGCTTACATATATCTGTTTACCGTGTGTGTGCTTGGTGTTTGTGGTACTGGAACTGGAGTTACAGGTGGTTGTGAGCTACCTCATAGATGTTAGGAATGGAACCCAAATTCTCTGGGAGAATAGCAAGTGGTGCTCTTAACCATTGAGCCATCTCTGTAACTGGCAAAATGTCTTTGATGCTTTTCCTGTTGCTTGCCACCACTTACTGAGGCCATGCAGAAAGTTGCCTAACTTGAGAAAGCACATACAAAACATCTCTTTCTTGTAGTTCCTGTTGTTATCCTGGGGTGCTCTTCCATTATTAAGGATTATCTGATCTGCTCTGGCTAGCAAGGCTGTTTTATTAGGGTAATATATAAACAGAAGTTGACACTTAGTATTTTGTGTTAGGCAGTGTTTTAAATCCTTTATTCATTATCTTATTTAACCCTGTCATCCACTCAAAAGGTTTAAATACTGTATTAATCTTAAAGTGAGCACTACGGATGGTGGTATGCACTCTGTAATCTCAGTACTTGGGAGTTAAAGGACAGAGGATCAAGAATTCAAATTCAGTCCAGCTCTGGCATACACCTTTAATCCCAGTACTCAGGAGGCAGGGCCAGTGAGGCCAGCCTGATGTACATAGCAAGTTCTAGGCAAGCCTAGGTGAGAGGGATGGAGGGAGGGAGGAAGAGACAGAGACAGAGACACAGAGAAAGACACAGAGACACACACACACACACACACATACACACACACACACACACACACACACAGAGGTTATATTCTAAATGGCTGGCAGTTTCAGGGTTCAAATATAGGCCTGCTGCTACCTGCTCCCAGAAGAGGATGTGGGTTAGTTAATATAAACTTGTAAGGTTTGCACTACAAATTAGTAATAAGATGTGAATTTAAATAAGACAGGAAGGCCAAGTATTTCTCACATAAGTCACAATAACTATGACTAAATGTTTTTTTCTTGTCTTTAGGAAGGAAAATTTGAAGTTGTGTGTTATGGAGTGGGGTAGGGTTCGGTGGAGTACTTAGGCTTGAACTCAGGGCCTTGTAAATATTCTACTACAGTTCTACACCCCTGGCTGTCCTTTTCCTCCCTTGGTCTTTTGTTTTGTTGTGTTTTTGGAGGCAGGGTTTCTCTTTGTAGCCCTGGCTGTTCTGGAGCTCTGTAGACTAAGCTGGCCTCCAACTCAGAGATCTACCTGCCTCTGCCTCCCATGGCTAGGATTAAAGGCAGGTACTTTCACCACCACCCAGTGGTATGTGGTTTTTGTTCTGGGCTCTGTCTTACCAGAGTGAAACATTGTTTTCTTTTCTTCAAATGGCAATCCCCTTAATGTTAAGGAAATTAATGTTAAAGGATGAAGAGTAAGTAATATTTAAAGAATCAGCCATGTGGAGGGCGGAGGTGGTGGCATTTGGGAGGCAGAAGTAGGTGGATTTCTGTGAGTTTGAGACCAGCGTGGTCTAAAGAGGGAGTTCCAGGACAGCCAGGACTGTTTCACAGAGAAACCCTGTCCCAAAAACAAAACAAAAATCAGCTATGCTGACAGACTGTATTGCCTTTGTTTTAAGTGACACTGCACGCAGTGATGGTTTCCTTTTCCTTTTCTCACCCCACCCCCATCCATTGTTTGAGCATCTTTTCTAAATGTTGACCCAAGTATGGCTTTTAGCATTTCTACCCCTTAACAGTGTCTTGTAGGGATTCCGGGAACTGCTCAGACTTTTCTGAGGTTGATATTATTTTAATAACAATATTAAATCATGGTTTGTTTTCCATCCTTATCCAGTCCTATGCATGCAATGAGTTTTCAGATGACTCCAACTGGATGTAGAAGTAGATAAAGAATCTCTTTCTTAGTCTTGGACATTAAAAAGATTTGTAGAAAGTCTCAATACCTCTCTTTTTGTCTGTAGGTTTGCTATGAGCAGTAAACTCAAAATTCCAGAGAGTCAGAAGTCCTGTTCTTTGTGTGGCATATTCCTGGCTTTGGATGCCAGATGGCTCTTCATTTTATAATATTAGCCGAGCATCTACTATGTTGCAGCCCTGTGGTATGGGCTGCAAACAAGGCAGTAAACAAAATGAGAGAAATAAAACCTGGCTAGAGCCCATGTCCTTTCCAGTCTTTGAGTTTCTTGTCCCAGACATTGCCCACCTCCAGGAGAATCTGAGTTGCCTGCATGCATGTGTGTATCTGGTGCTCAAGAGACCAGAAGGCATTAGATCCCCTGGACCTGGAGTTACAGATGGTTGTGAGCTACCACGATGTGGGTTCTGGGAACTGAACTCAGGTTCTCTGTAAGAGCAGCCAGTGCTCCTTGCTGCCAAGCCATCTCTCCAAACCCCAGGTTTGCTGCCTTCTAGTGGGTGGTGAGGACCCAGCTCAGGTACTCTTGCTTGCTAGCCTAACACTTCCTGATTAAACTGTCTCCCCAGCTCCTAGATCTGGTCTCAAATAAGAACTGTCGTTAGCAAAGAATCTAGAACAGTCCTGACATCCTTTTTTTAAACACATATTTTGTAGCCCAAGCCCTCCCCTAGTTCTGGGATGGCAGCTATGTGCCACCTGTCTGACACTCATTTTTTTTTAAATTGGTACTTCTTGGGACTGACTGATTGATGTAAACAAGGGTTTTGAGAGAATGACAGGACTGGATGTTGCTCAGTAGTAGAATGCTTGCTTAGTACACAAGGCTCTGGGATTATTCTTAGCACAATAAAGGGAAAGAGGGAGGGAAGGAAAAAGAATGGGAAGGGGGGAGAGAAAAGAAAGAGGGGGAAGTGAAAATGAACAAATGTGAATGAGGAAGTGTATGTACGGATGAATTTATTCTCTTGCTGCTGACTGGCTTTCAAGTCAGGTAAACCACAGCATATTCTCAAGTCTCGGGATAATGTATAAAAGTATGGAATTAAGAGCCGGGCGTTGGTGGCGCACGCCTTTAATCCCAGCACTCAGGAGGCAGAGGCAGGTGGATCTCTGTGAGTTCGAGACCAGCCTGGACTACCAAGCGAGTTCCAGGACAGCCTCCAAAGCCACAGAGAAACCCTGTCTCGAAAAACCAAAAAAAAAAAAAAAAAAAAAAAGTATGGAATTAAACTGGGCCATGGTGGTGCACATCTTTAATCCCAGCACTCTGGAGGCAGAAGCACGTGGATCTCTGCATTCAAGGCCAGCCTGGACTATAATGGGAGTTCCTGAACAGTCAGGGCTACAAAGAAAAATGCTGTGTGGGGAGGAGTATTAAGGAGAAATGGAATTTTCATTTGTTTGTTTTTGTTTTTTTTTAAACAGAATCTCTATTATGTAGCTCTGACTGTCCTGGAGCCAGATAATGTAGACTGTGTGTGCTAACCTCAAAATCACAGAGATCTACCTACCTCTACTGGGATTAAAGACCTGGACTAACCCATTTGGAACATGTGCCATGTCTTTTTGACATTTGTTTGAATATCCTGTACTTGCATCATGTGCTGCATGTCACTTGAGAACTGAGTCCAAAAAGTCACATTGTTTACTGCTATGCAATTTGTCATTATTTTAAGCTAAGATTCTGAGTATCTTATTTTTGGTTTTTTGAGACAGGGTCTCTCTGTGTATCACTGGTTTTCCTGGAACTCTCTCTGTGGACCAGGCTGGCCTCAAACACAGGGATTCACTTTCCTCTGTCTATGCTGGGATTAAAGGGATTCTATAATTTAAAGGCCATTCTCCCCTCACCACCCTTGGAAAATAAGTACTTTGAG